CCCCTAGTAGGATTTTGTCGGAAAATGACGAAATATGGAAACTTTGAGAAAAACCTGATACAGCACAGTTCAGCACACTTCAGATTGGATAAGAATTCAAATTTATTCAAACTGATTTTCGAAATTTTTGGGGGGGCTGAGCGTCAAGTTAGCCTCCCAGTAGGATTTTGTCGGAAAATTACCGAATATGGAAATTTTCGGAAAAACCTGATACAGCACAGTTCAGTACACTTCAGATTGGATAAGAATTCAATTTTGTTTAATCTGACTTCCAAAATTTTGGGGAGCTAAGCGTCAAGTTAGCCCCCTAGTAGGATTTTGTCGGAAAATGACGAAATATGGAAATTTTGAGAAAAACCTGATACAGCACAGTTCAGCACACTTCAGATTGGATAAGAATTCAAATTTATTCAAACTGATTTTCGAAATTTTTGGGGGGGCTGAGCGTCAAGTTAGCCTCCCAGTAGGATTTTGTCGGAAAATTACCGAATATGGAAATTTTCGGAAAAACCTGATACAGCACAGTTCAGTACACTTCAGATTGGATAAGAATTCAATTTTGTTTAATCTGACTTCCAAAATTTTGGGGAGCTAAGCGTCAAGTTAGCCCCCTAGTAGGATTTTGTCGGAAAATGACGAAATATGGAAATTTTGAGAAAAACCTGATACAGCACAGTTCAGCACACTTCAGATTGGATAAGAATTCAAATTTATTCAAACTGATTTTCGAAATTTTTGGGGGGGCTGAGCGTCAAGTTAGCCTCCCAGTAGGATTTTGTCGGAAAATTACCGAATATGGAAATTTTCGGAAAAACCTGATACAGCACAGTTCAGTACACTTCAGATTGGATAAGAATTCAATTTTGTTTAATCTGACTTCCAAAATTTTGGGGAGCTAAGCGTCAAGTTAGCCCCCTAGTAGGATTTTGTCGGAAAATGACGAAATATGGAAATTTTGAGAAAAACCTGATACAGCACAGTTCAGCACACTTCAGATTGGATAAGAATTCAAATTTATTCAAACTGATTTTCGAAATTTTTGGGGGGGCTGAGCGTCAAGTTAGCCTCCCAGTAGGATTTTGTCGGAAAATTACCGAATATGGAAATTTTCGGAAAAACCTGATACAGCACAGTTCAGTACACTTCAGATTGGATAAGAATTCAATTTTGTTTAATCTGACTTCCAAAATTTTGGGGAGCTAAGCGTCAAGTTAGCCCCCTAGTAGGATTTTGTCGGAAAATGACGAAATATGGAAATTTTGAGAAAAACCTGATACAGCACAGTTCAGCACACTTCAGATTGGATAAGAATTCAAATTTATTCAAACTGATTTTCGAAATTTTTGGGGGGGCTGAGCGTCAAGTTAGCCTCCCAGTAGGATTTTGTCGGAAAATTACCGAATATGGAAATTTTCGGAAAAACCTGATACAGCACAGTTCAGTACACTTCAGATTGGATAAGAATTCAATTTTGTTTAATCTGACTTCCAAAATTTTGGGGAGCTAAGCGTCAAGTTAGCCCCCTAGTAGGATTTTGTCGGAAAATGACGAAATATGGAAATTTTGAGAAAAACCTGATACAGCACAGTTCAGCACACTTCAAATTGGATAAGAATCCTTTTTGGTTTTATCTGATTTCCAAAATTTTGGAGGGGGCTGAGCGTCAAGTTAGCCCCTCATCTATTTTTTCCTATAACTTTGTTATCGAAACGGTACAGTTCAAAATATCATCGGCACAGTAGAGCACACTTCGAGCACAGTAAGTGGTTGCAATTTTTTTAGAAAATTCGGGGGGGCTAACTTGACGCAGCTCAAGAGATATCCTTCTGATCTTCTTTATAAAGAAAGTGAAATAATGAATATTCAACAACTATACATTAAGTCAGTAATAAGATACATGATCAAAAACCCAGACTATAAAATAAATAAGCCATGGTATAAATATGAGAAATGTTGTGCAAGGAAAAATTGAACTGCAAAATCCTAAACACACAGCTTGCCAAAATCACATCCACTGCGTAGGGACAAAAATCTTCATCAATGATATGCCACGTAATTTTAGAGAAAGTGCGAAATATAAAAAAAATAGAACAAAGATAAGGAAATGGATCATAGAAAGCAATTATAAATTAAATTATGTGATATAAAGATAAAAACAGTGCCTATTTTATTTTGTATTAGATTATTTATTGTGGTCAACATTTTTTTAGTTTATAAGTATAATATTGTAAATGTAAATTCAGTCATACCAAAACCAAAAAGGTAAATTATTAATAAATGAAAGGTGCACACACAATATTTTGAATATCATTGTGCATGTGTATCTGAAAAATGTTTGTTAGCAGTTTCAGCATTAGATATTGGTAGGTAATTATTATTATTACTATTAAAAATTTATACACAGCATTAGATATTGTTGATTGTAACTTGAATTTATAATTTCGTTCATTGTTACATTGCTACAAATAAATAAATACATTTCTTGAAGCTTTGTTAAGGTAAATGACCAAAAATTATTACAAAAAGGAACTGAAAATATACGCATAAATAATGTACAGAATGTATGTATGTATCCTCAAGCGCAGGTGACAGGTAGATATAAATGCATGTAAGTGTGAACATTTTTTAGTTCCACTTGTAGTTATTTCTTATGACTTTCTTCAACAAAGCTTTGAGCACTTTAACCGAGACTTAAAACCTTATAATATGAGAGTTCGAATGAGGTTTATGAGCTGGTCTTTGAATGTGTTTTTTTTTGGGTTCTACAAGTTTCAAATTTTAGTGCTAAACAAAAAGATGCAAAGAAATTCAAGAGATCATCATTTGTAGGGAATGAAAAGTCTTCATTTATAAAAAAAAGGTTTAACCATGTAGCTCCTAATTTGGCCAAATTACTAGTGTGTTACTAGCATTTTACTTTTGAACTGAATGCTTTCAATGTCCGCCTGTATTAATGTTAGGTTTTTTGCGAGGTTTTTTGAATCTGAATATTAGGCACCTTGGAAATTTAAATTTTTTAGGCTGAGTTTTTGTTCAATATCAACCTCAATATAAACTATTTGGGATAGAGCTATAAAAAGCCCTCTACAAAAATGCTTGAAGCCCTCTACAAAAATGCTGGAAATTGGATTGAAATCTACAAGTCGTCCTGCAAAGTAGTAGTAGATAGACTGACTTTACAAAACTGACTCAAATATCGCTTTCACTTAACTTTATGCAACAATTCTTTTATTTAAACTGACTGACTGACTTCAATTTAAACTACACGCTTATACATAAGTATACAAAATCATTTCGAGAAATCCCTAGAATCTCGTGAATTCTTGTTTATTTCCACACAATGGAAGTTTTGACCTATCGCACGGGCCTCTTCGCGCCAACGTAGTTTCGTCACAGTGTAGTCTCGAATGTAGTAATCTCAATTTATCAATAATTCAAAGCAGAATCTTCTCAAATCTCACCGGAATATTTTTATATCCAGTGTGCCGGATTGTTGGATGTAGGTCCTACATTTATTGTTCCGCTAGAAGTTATCGAAAACTTTTTGTCTTTTGCTTCTAAATAAAAACAAAAAGTTTTCAACTTTCATTGAAGCAGTGATGTCCCCAATTGAAGATTCATTGATCTATAAAAAAACTGTTTGAAATAATTATGTAATTATTTTATCGACATCAGCTCTAAAGCTTTCTGTTTCAGAGCCCAGTTAATTTTTAATTTGAGACATACATTATTGGCTGACTGGTACAATTAGGTAATTCCTACACTAAAAACAAATAAGACACAATAAATTCATTTAAATAACTACAAATAATAATTACCTTAAGATTTGCTAAGTAAACATAAAATTCAATGGAATATAATTAATATAAAGAAAATCGCCAGCAAGTCTAAAAAAGGGGTAAGTACTATATTAAAAATAACACAAAAAGCATCCATGAAGAAAATTCTTCACAGTAACCAACCCAGTGCTGACAACGTATCCTTTATTTGGTTACTGTTTTACCACTTCTGTATTCTGTAAAGCAAGCTGATTTTGAGAAACTTCACAATGAAGCTCTGTGAATCACTGTTAATTAAAGACTCTTTGCGTTCAAAATAAAAGTTTTTATGGCAATCACTTCCTTGATTTGATAGTTCTAATTCAATAAGGAATTGTTTGAGGAACTGTCAGAATTTCATTAAGTAATAAAGTTTTGTCTAGACATTGGTTTCAAGGCAAGTTTGAAAAGGTAAATAGGTGATGAGGTTCAATTATTGCTAAATAAAGTTTCATATAATTATAATTAAATATAATTATTGGACCTATCAGCGATCCAATAAAATATCAGAAAGTTGTAATACATAGCTATTTATTCACCCCATTTATCCTTTTAACTCTCTTATTAGTGCACCAAAAAAAAAACATTTTAATTTACCTACTCCATAACTCTGTCTCACTAAGATCTCTAACGATTTTGTTCGAGATTTCCTAACAATCCGTTTATTGTTAATTGGAGTAGTATTCAATTTATCCATCTGTTGTATTTTGCAGTAACATAATCTAAGGATACATCAATATCCAGGTAGTACATATTTTGGGTGTGGTGTGGTGTAACCAATCCAAGTTCCTACGTAATAATAATACCCACATTTAAGAACAATAAATTTTGTTGTCGAACACTATAAACATAATAATCTAAACAGTAATGGGCTATTGTAGGGATCATTCCTATAAAACCAAGAAATTATCATGTAAGGATGCATTAAATAAATGATTGCAATGACCATGTGATAAACCCGAGTATAAAACAATACCAAGCATCAGACAAAATAATGGCATAATGATAACTGCATTGCAGTTGATAAGAGGATGCAAGAAAATTAATAGCCAGCCTTGTGTGAATGGCTGTAATTCAAACTTGTTAAACTGATACTTTTTAAGAGCAAGATAATGATTGTTATCAATTTGCTTTTTGTTTTTAGTTTATTATTAGTGATTAATATTATCTTTTTCTTTCCAGGCACAATGCCAGAAGAGGGTGTACCTGATATGACAAGACTGACGGTCTTAGATGAGGCAGTTATCAACAAGAATTTGGAAGTGCGATACAAGAAGGACAACATTTATGTATCCTTTTAATCGTTGATTGTTTTAATATTTTATATTATAGTTTTTCCAATATAAATTCAATGCAAGAATCTCCTACAAAACAAAAAATTATAACTGATAAATTCAAGACAAGCTTTACATTCAGTGTTCTGTGTTAGACTCTATGTGGTCACCTCAATTTTTGATTGAGTAATTTTCAAAAAAAAAATGGCGCTTAGGTCTTCCTTTATGTTTAGCTATTTCCTCTGGAATTACTATGAACCCATTACTCAGTTTCACGGGTTTACCTTAATGAACTCATTCATTACCTTTCCCATTCCAAAATAATATTAAATCTATTTTTGGGTGTCATACTTGATGACATTTCAACTATTTCATTTAGGTTTCTAGAGGCCAAAGTCACCAGTAGTATTTATGATTTGATGTTAGGTAAGCTGATGTATTTAGGTTCGCGAGGTAAAATTTGCGTATTTGTGAAAGTTATTTGTATGTGGTAAAATAACTGCAAAATAAATACCTGTTTAGACTTATTCATAAAGAAAATGATAAGACGGATCTACTGAGTCATCTAAACGAGTTTGTATGTTCTCTGAAAATCGGCATAATTTTACATTTATCTTTTTTAAGTCAACACCTTTACTTTGATTCACTTTCAAGCGTGTAGTATGTTTATACTGGTTTTCTGTAATGGGAATTCCTTTGCAATAGGATGAAATTAGTTTCGTGATTCATGCCCCTCTTGGTATTTCATAGAATTTAGGGGGAAGTATGAGGAATAAATAGTACGACATTAGTTAGTAGGCACATCTTCAAGGCAGAAGGATTAGAATAAGTGATTACTCATCGCTTTCTATTGATTACCGAAAAATTCTTCATAATACCTAGGAAACCTTCTGTCACAAGAATGAGTCATGCTTGAGGAACCACATTCTTTTTCGACCTTTGTTGTCTTTAAACCGAAGGCCTTTGTTCATTAAGAGGTAATTTTTGGGTTCGGTGGCCCTAGGATGAATTCAAATTTCGGGCTGATATACGTACCTAGGTTCTATTCTCAAGATATTCCTAAATGTAATGAAAAGTATTTATTAGCATCTATAAAGATTTTACCAAACTTAAACTGTTACAAAAAATGGTTGGGCCAAAATCTATTAGATATGACCTTTTATGTGCACATTAAAGGGCCCAAATTTTGGAAAAAAGAAACATACAAAAAACATTTTCGCAGATTTTTCTAGTCTGGAACTAAAATTTATTATGGTTATATTCATGATATAATTACTTTTTTAGGGAATAGGTACAATACTTTTCCGGAAATACAAATATATACTTCTGGAAACTTCGTATAAAAACCACCCAAGGTATCTGCAAAATAAAAGTGGGAACATTTCGTCATCAAGATCTGACTTTACTTACTATATTACAAACTAAATATTATTTAATGAGGCTGAAATTTAATTATCGTCCAATTAGCGCTTTTTAATTGGGCCTCACGTCGTTGAGGCGAGGCTTCTTAAACTAAATTCACACTGTAAGGCCATAATGTCGAGGAAGAAATAGGTCAAAGCTTAAGGAGACAATTTTTAAAAGGTGTTTTCAAAGGATTAGCTTGCTTGTTATCTTGTCGAGCTGAACATTTGCTGGGAAGCTTTAAAACATTCTAGGTTTATGATTTACCAACCTGACAAAAGTAATGTATAGCTGGAGAAGAGGAATAATTTATCAGACATAGGACAAAGCTATGTGGAACAAGTTTATTAAAAAATTACAAAATTGAGTACCTAGAACTATAGAAAACGATGGAAGCAACAAAGCAGAAATTAATATCAGAAAAGAAATAGAACGAAATTATATCATGCATTGAACGAAGAATTCATAAATAGAATGGAAATCGAGACAAATTTAGTGGGATTTATGATAGATGATTGATTATCTCCTTGATCTGATAACACTAGGGTTGCTTTTACGCTTTAACTATTTTATAACAAAGATATTTTATCAACATGCAAAAATTCTGTCACTAGCGTACCTACTAGTGCGTTAATATAGGTCATTATTACAGTTCATAGAATGACAATATAAAAAGTGTCAATTCATACAATTTTCACTGTCTCTCGAAACATAAAAATAGACTTATTTTTGTTGTTGCAAAGTTGGGTAGAATTTTTGTCTCCTAAAAAATAAAATGTAGGTATCAAGTTGCCCCACATCATATTTCGATTTATCATTTTCTCTTTCGACGCAGGCGAAAAAATAGGGCAAAGTCTTTATAGGCGTTTCCAATGCCGAGTTGAAGAATAGGGGTGCATCGAGCCAAAGTAAGTGTCACCGTTTCATATATCATTCCCGTTCGAAAGAGGGTTTAACGTTTTTAACCCGTTCACGATCGTGTTTATAAATAGGGATGAGTTACTTGCAGCTTTTGAAATTGTTCAATTAAGCAGGTGTACCTACCTGAGGGTTTTTCCGAGTTTGCTGTGTGTATATGAATATAAAACTACTCACAATTATGTACAAGCGATAATTTTGCAATATTCAAATATGTGTACGTATTTATTCCATTCAAGAGCAAATTCCTGGAAGAGCATAATTTTACCATTTTCAACCCTCCTTTCGTCAAAAAAGGAATCGGATTGACTACCACAGAGCCTTAATTTGATTAATGGAGTTTTCTTTGCTTCAATTTAGGATTTCTCTGTTGGGGGTTAATAGAAATTGCCTTGTCTGCAAATGCGCAGGGTAATTGATAATTCTTTCATAGGCTTAACCAAAATACCCTGCTTTGAGGTTTTTCTTAAAATCAGCTGCTCGGTCAGCTGTTACTTATAATTATTTTTTGTGTTTTTTTTTGTTGTTGTCTTGTGTTTTTAGAGCGTTAGTGCGATTGCACTCTCGCTATGTTGGGTGAATCGACTCACTGCACTGATGTGTTGTGTTTAAAGTTAATTTTTGTTTAGGGAAGGAGAGGGGAATGGGGAAAACATAGGATAGGAAGGAATGAGAAAGAAGGAAAGGGGATTTCATTCAACTAGAACAAAACAGGAGCTCAGAGTTAAACTTATCGTAAAATAAGTTTTCAATAATGTCATTGGTATGGTTAGTTACTGAGTCAAGAAACCGCGTATGTTTCTCAACAAGGTACTCCTGGATTGTGTCGCCGCTCAGATCTGTATGTAGGGCCATATTGCAAACATACCATAGAGCGCCGACCATCCTTCGGATTACCTTGTTTTGAAACGTCTGCAGTTTCTTCTTATTTTGTCGTGAAGTCTGAGTCTGAGAAAAAGCTGGTGCGCCGTAAAGTAAAGAGTGTCGTATGACTTGTTTGTATAGTAAAAGTTTGTTCTTAAGAGTTAATTCACTGTCCTTGTTGAGGGGAGGGAAAAGCAATACCACTAAAAAAAAGATTTGTTCAATTTGTGGCATAAATGTGGAATAGTGGAATCCAAGAAAGTTTATTGTCTAGTATAAGTCATAAGTATTCAATTTGATTTGTCCAAGTTATTACAGAATCGTCCAGTATGAGGTTGTCTCAGAATGGTCAGTCAATGTGTTTGTTATGTTTATGGGTGAGCAGGACAGCTTGGGTTTTATCGACATTAATTTTGATTTTCCATAATTTTGCCCAATCAATTATGGAGTCAAGGTGATTTTGTAAACGTCTATGTATGTGAAGTGAGTTCTTTTGTGAGGTACAAATAAATGTGTCATCTGCATAGATGGACATTTCTGTATGAGGATTAGTCAATGACCTATTATCACAGATAGACAGAGTATTCCATTCATAAAATACTATTTGTTGTGTTGACAACATGTTTATAGGCCAAGGGGGATTTGGGGTGTGGGCGGTCCATGGTGGGGATAAGTCGCCCGATCTAAGTCTGGCCTCAACAGCTGTTCCCTGCCATGGACCAGGCTCAATTGGTCCCACCCCAAAACCAAAACGATGATATTCGAAAACTATTCCAGACTAACACGAATATATCTTATGTATCGGTCTTTTTTTAACATATACTAATCATCATCGCATAGGATAGAGACAACAAGATACTCTGGGCCAGAACGGAACGTATTACTACGAGGAGCAGGACTTTTTACCTGCGTTAGAAAGAGAAAATAAATATTCCTACGACTAAATGTGGCATTTTAGTATTGGGGGAATTTGGTCAGGATAGAAAGAATCGGACATGTTGTCAACAGATATTTTTGTTTATAAATCCGTCTATCTGTGATAATAAGTCATTGGGATTAGTAGGAATGTCAGCCATGTAGAGGTTATACAGCAGTGGGGCAGGAACTGAGCCTCAGGGTATACCTGCTACTAGGTATGACATTTGAGAAAGTATCATTATTGAGTTTAACATGGAAAGTTCTGGCTTTAAGGAAATTAATAATAATTTTGACGAGAGATAATGGCAGAAAATATTTATCATGAAGTTTGACTATGAAACCAGCATGCCAGACACGATCAAAGGCCTTCTCAACATCCAGCAGTACAACACCCATTGAGGAGCGACGCTGCAAGGCAGGAGTGGTTTTTTTTAACCAGCCTGGCAAGCTGAATCTCAGTGGAATGTTTAGAACAGAAACCAAATTGTTCGTTAGGGAGAATGCCTTCAAGATAATGTTAGGATTTGAACTTTTCATTAATTATTCTCTCAAGAATTTTTGGGAAGTGAAGACAGAAGACTAATTAGACGGTAATTTTGTGGAAAATGATGATCTTTATCCGGTTTTTGGATTAAGATCAGGATTACTGTTGTCAGTTTCCATGCTTTAGGAAAGTAATTGAGATTGAGGCATTCATTTAGAATGCGAGTTAATGTTGCGACGGCCGACGACGTTGTCCGGAAGGTTTTCTAAGACTCTATTACTTATATCATCATAACCAGAGCTTTCTTCATGACTGAATGAAGAATTTTACGTCCTCTTCCAAGGTCTTTATTAAGGGAAAATTGTGATTGAAGTGTGTCAGCAAAAGCACTTGGTTTTTCTTGATTGGTATATACCAAACCAGCTCT